GCAGTCATGTTATGATGTATGCGTTGTTTCCCTGCCTGTACCACAGGTAGATCTACTGAGTTATGGGTCTGCATTCATATGCGAGGATTCAAAGTGCCCTGCAAAAGCATTCTCTTACAGCATTTCACTGACCTTCTCCTACCACCATGAAACCCCACCAAAACAGGGCAGGTTCCCCCAGGAATTGAGGCATCTTCCAGTCTGCCCACTGGATTTACATTCTGTAGCATTTCAGGGATGAACTCACCTGAACGATGTTGCAAATTCTTAACCTGGGGTCCATTTGACATTGTTAAATCTTCATCTATTGCCGTTTTGGAGCTTCTTCCCATCTGAACGCGAGACCTTTTGTTTCATTGTCTGGTGGTCTCTACAACTAACAAAAAGGGAAGAGCTGCACCTTCCAGCCTGGGGAGTATTCCAGAAATGAGTGCTGAAAGTTGGGTGACATTGCCAGGCACGTCCTTGACCCAATGGAAATGCATTAGGGAGAGACAACAGCCCCCGGCTCAGTGTCCGGGGAGCTGAGGTGATTCACACCCACAGGCATTGGTCTTCTTCATCAACAGAGGAAGTCTTAATGAGTAGATTAAACTGAACACCTGGGATGGCTTTGACTCACGTTGGCAAGACAAATCTGTCGCTCCTAATCACCAGCCCAAGGAGGTGAGGCTGAGCCAACCCTTCCTGGGCCTTTCTAAATGACAATTGCAAAGTCAAAACAATAGGGCTTTTTCAGCTCTTTGAGAGTAAAGATTTCGGGATAGAAAGACACATTACCACACACTCAACCAATTGCCTTCAGCCCTTCCAAAAGGGAACTATGCTTGGAGAAATCTTCATGCTCTCTCTATATCAATGATGGTATCTGCAGACAGCCAGTAGTACGTTCCTGCATCCTCTTTAGTCCCGCTGAAGACATTTCCATTGCAAGTCACAAAACGAAGGCTAAACCTCCTTATAACATAAAACCTTCTTATATCAAGCTCTCTTAAAGGAACGCACACCTTGAACCTTAGCAAACCATAGGACGTGACTGCAGCACCGAGATTCACCAGGCTATTAATTGAATGTGTAATTGCAACTTGCATGAGTCTGAGGGGCTGGTGGTATAAATTAGTTGTGTAAACTGATACTCTTGCCCTATACAGGTGGAATAATTCAACATATTTATAGCATGACTTTTTTGTTTATAATATCTTAGGCTCACAGTTCATGTTGTGTTGCCAGCGCAACTGGCAATATCAGTTAAAACATTCTGCTGGCAAATATTAGAGGCTTAAAGCTAAAGCTTGCAACGTCTCAGATCCTTTAAGTTCTGAACAAAGGCTTATCAAAAGCAAAATGCATATTTGAATCCAAAGAGCAGTACAAAAGGCAATTGTTCCAGCTCTTTCACTCAGCTGGAACTAATGCGTGCTCTACATAGGAAGACTGAATCCCAAATCAGAAGTCAGACTGAGAGCTGTGTCCTCCTTCCTGCACCCCATTATACTTGCAGGCTGTGTGGGAGACGCCTGAAACGCATCATAGACTGCAATTAAACGTCTGCCAACTAACTGCACTGAATTAGCTCCACTTTCAAAATGTCTCACCAGAGCTCCATGAGAGGTGCGAGATTTTGGGCATGGGTTGTCCAGTGTTGGGTGACACTTCTCTTGGCCAACCTCCTGCTCATGATCTCAGTTATCAGGCAGCTCTGTGGAAGGTTCACTCAATGTCATTCAGGTCTTTCCAAAGGACACAGAGTGTTTCTTCTGTTGCGACACCAGGCCTCAGGAGTCACCAATTTGTCGTGAGTACAAACATGGGAGATGGGAGAGCACTTTGAAGCAAAAAAAAAGACATTTTTTGACTGAAAAAAAAAAAAAAAAAAAAAAAAAAAAAAAAAAAGAGGGATCCATCCTACTTTCATCTCATAGAAAAGAAGGACAAAGAAGGGAAAGAAGGAAAATATTTTGATGGGTTGAATGAATCATTTTAACGACTTGCAATCTCTCCCTTTGTCAGCGTTCTGTATGTGCTGCTGAGAATGGAATTCATTATGAGAACATGTGAAGTTCACTAATTTGTTTGTTGCCTCTGGAGGTGAATCTGAACTAGCTCTTAAAATGCATTTTATGCGATAGTCTCAAAGAGCTGTGCTCCATCTCTGTAATTACAGACAGCCATGAAGAACTCATTGCATTCAGACAAGACAATGGCAATAACCTACCTGTGCTAACAGCATTTGATAGACATGAGATTGGGTCACAGTATGCATTTTTACACACACACACAACTCCAAGGACTGTGTAATCTCTTGTCTGTGACATTCATGAGATCTTCAAGTCTTGATTTGATTGGTGCATCCCTGTTCTCATGTATCCTAAAGCCAAAAGAATTCTGTGTGGTAATGTGCTTCTTCCTCTCATACCCTACATCTGCTCTATGTTTAGAAGTCAAGGCTGGGATTTTCAAAGCACGCTCCTCAAAAAACGCATCAAACACTGGGCCTGGATTCACCTCCCTCCCAGCTTGAGCCATCAAACTCGCCATGTATTCTAATTTCCTCTTTGAGACTCCCTCTATGGCTGATGGAGGGAGATAGGCATCTCCAGACAGTGACTCATCACTACCTAAAATAGGCAGCGAAGACAGGTGGGAGGAATCAGCCTCTGGAGGCACTTGCCTCGCTCCTTACTGACGACCAGAGGCAGTCTAGACAACCAGACAAGAGCCCCGGCGCCCAGCTGCTGGATGGGCACAGCTGGGCGAGATGAGTCCCACCCTTTGGGTGCCACATTTCTTCATCACCTTTGAAGTCTTAATGAGAGCACACAACATCACACGCTCTTCTGGATTCGCTCCGTTCCCCGTGGATGCATATGTCCTATCTCCGTGCTGTGATTAGCGCCTGTAAAGCCAAGGCTTGCGACAAAGCAAAGGGTTGTTTTGATCTTTTTCACGCTGATGCCTTCCCCCTGCATAGCAGAAATAAAGGTGTGGTGTATGGGAATCCAGGCCTTCAAATGGGACAGCATCCAACTGCCTGTAGGATGAGAAAAGGAAAAGAAAACATTGCAACTGTCACTGGGCAACAGCAACATCCCTATAAATGCTGAGCTCTTCCCTGAAAGCTGTTTTCTTGGGGAGATGAGGTTCCATGAGCACTACAGGAGGAAGGAATTGCCTGTGGAAGATGGGGCAGGTCCTCCTGGGAAGCGTAACAAGGGGATGGGTTCTTCCCTTTGTAATGTGAAGGCATCAGTGCCCCAGCCCTTGTCTGGTTGGGTCTGCAGAGCTTTGTGATCTATTTCTGCTGAATTTCTAAAGAGTGCTGGTTCATGAAGCATGGCTGGGGGAGAGAGTTTGGAGAATATTAATTCTACCTCATCTCCCTGACTTCTCTTGTGACAGAATCATCTGTTTTCAGTGAGAACACTATAACCTTTATGAGACACTTAACCCCCTCTTAAAGCATGCTTATGGTGCTCAACTGTTCCTTTCTTGTCAAATCTTTCCCATGGTTTTATTCACTAACGATTGTGACTGTTCTGTGGTCCTGATTTTCTGCTCGTATTTGATTGGGAAAGAGGAATGGTAGAGGGAGAGAAGTGTCTTTCAGTCCCAGATCCCAACAATTGCTTCAGATAGGAAAGGACCTCCCTCTGGATTTTGTAAAACACTTCTCTGTCTGACTTGTGCCTGTATGGTTCATTTCTTTGCTCTGCCAGCTCGCTATAATTGCTTTAATCACAAAACAATTCAGTCCTCAGTAGTTGGTTTAACACATTAATTTGTTGGCTTCTTTTCAGCCTGTTCAGGCAAATACAGCAAAATTTCATCCTCTGATTTGTTTTAAAACCCTTTTAAAACTGGCCATCACTGAATTTCCAAAATGAAGCTGAAAACATCAACCAAACACATTCCTGGTGTTTTTCCAATAATGTCCCCATTGCAGAAGATTTGAGCAGCGATAAAATGTGTTTTTTCATCACTCCTTGGTAGCATATGTGCTATAAAAATGCAAAGCAGCTGAGATGACTTCTCCACGAATCTTAAAACTCTCATTGAGTGGAATTGGGTAGGATCCAAATTTGGTGCAAAATTGGCATAAAAAAGCTGGCCTTAAATGGCTTCAATAGTTTACAGTTAGCAAAATGTGGATCTGCCACACTGACATGACAGTCTCTGTGCAGCCCACTTAGCTGTTGAGGCTTTTCAACAGCAGATCTGCCTCTTCCAATGAAGGAATTTCTGTATCTTTGTTAAACACAACAAATGAAGTGGCAACACATTCATTCTCCATGCACTTTATTGGAACAAGAGCAAAAATTGCAGAGCTCAAGTCATCAAGACACAAGCTGGGATGCAGAAATGTATGCACATGTCAAAGTGCAGACTGCCTGTCAGGACATAAAGAAGGAAGCTAACAGAACTACAGGAAATATAATTAGTTTTTGCTGGCTACAGAAGGTGAAATGCCTTTTTTTTTTTTTAATTGAGTTTTCTTTTATGACTTTCCTGCCTGCATGAGGATGACAAAGATGCTCCAAGACAGTGCACAAAGAGCACACAGGAGTCTGGCCCCTCCTCTCTTGCTGAAGCACTCTAGGGAAAGGCTTTTGCTTTAAATGTCATAACTCGTTTCATAGAAAGCGAAGCTTTAATTGGGAAAAAAGAAAAGGCTGGTGGGAAGCTGAGATTGAGTGATAATATAAGTGCTTTTAGAGAAGCAGCATGTTCTAAGCATTCTTTTTTTGATGCGATCCTGGTGGGGCTGCTCTGATGTGATTTCCTGATGTCTGTTCCCCTCACGCAAGGCGGAACTGAGGTGGAGCAGAGCTTTCATTCTCTACTTTGGATCTTGCATCCTCTCAGATCTGGAGCTCAGACACGGGTGGTGCTCCTGGAGCACGGCGTCCCAGCTGAGATCCTCGCTCCTATCCAGCACGGTGCTGATGGCTGAGCTGAGCTCTCTGAGCTCCCTGCAGTCCCACAGCAGAGCTCAGCAGTGCTCACATGGGCTGAGCTCTGGCCAGCATGGGCCCCACCTCCACAGCTCCATTGGTGGCCCCTTGGGAAGCAGCTGCATCTGGGAGCACTGGGGAGACATTTCTTGCCTGCAGCGTTGGTGGACCCTTTGTGATAGACACCATCATCCCCAGGTTGGGATGCTCTGCTGGCACCAGGGGAGGACCCACGTCTTCTGCTGGCTGCACGAGGTCCATGTCCCAGGCCAGTGCTGCAGCCAGAGAAGGTGTTGCACGGTGTCGTGATCACTGCCATGGGGAAACACAAACTGAACCACTGAGTGGGACTTATTTCCATGTGAATAATGCAAATCCTGCTTTATGTCCCTGCAAATCACCCCCTGGCTTTTGTAGTGTTGTAAGGAAAATGGAAAACCTGGAGCTTACTTACACATTCTCACAGGGCACTCAGTGCGCAACCTGAAGGGCAAGAAAATCATAGAACCATTAAAGGTTGGAAAAGACCTCTAAGACCATCCAGTCCACCCCCAACCCATCCCACCATGCCCACTGACCACGTCCCTCAGTGCCACATCTCCGTGGTTCTTGAACCACTCCAGTACAGTGACCACACCACCTCCCTGAGCAGCCTGTGCTGGTGCATAACCACTCTTTCAGAGGAGAAATTGTTCCTAACAGCCAACCTGACTCTCCCCTGATACAATTTGAGGCCTATCTCTCATCCTACCACTGCTACCTGAGAGAAGAGAGCAACCCCCACCCCACCACAACCTCTTTTCAGGGAGCTGAAGGGAGCAATAAAGTCTCCTGTGATCCTCCTCTTTTCCAGGCTGAACAATGCCAGTTTCCTTAACCTCTCATCAAACATTATCAGAAGATTATCCATCACATAACTTGCATCTCTAGTGTTTTCCAATCTTCTTGTCTACGCTTAGAGCCCTGGGGGCTGAAGACTGCTCACACATTATAGAGGAACCCACCTGCTCTCTTCACCCTCCAACAAAGTCTTATAGGTGGCAATCTCAATGTCCAGGGCCAGCTTGACATTCAGCAGCTCCTGGTAATTCTGCAGCATGCAAGCCAGCTCATCCTTGGCCTTCTGGAGGGCATTCTGCAGCTCACTGTGCTTCTCCTGCGCATCCTTCAGAGCACGGTCCCCACGCTGCTCAGTGTCACTAACAGATGTCTGCAGAGTTGACACCTGTGTGGGCAATAAATGAATCCTTATTTTCCATAATCATCTGCAAAACCTAAATTCTCTCCTCTTTCAGGAGTCTGAAATTATTTGTAATCTGGGAATTATTGGTGCCGTTTTTCCGAAAGCCAAACGCTTCCAAAATCAAGTATCGATTCTGAAATACTAAAGAAAGGCTGAGCATGTCTCCTTACTGTGCTAAGCTTTGCTTCGAGGATACTAACACTTTGTTCTAATTGGAACTAATAATTAAGGTTTTCCATTACTTCCCGTTATAAAATATTTAATGAATCAGATGGTCTGAAAATTGCACAGGTTACTATGTTTGCTGAATTACTGGTGACTCATAATTCCACCCAACCTATTGGATGCTTTGAACCTGTGTCAGAAGCATTGTCTCCCGCTGGAATTCTCACTGAAGCAATTGTTTGAGTGCTGTAGCAATTCCAAACATCTAATATGGCTCCATGATTTTTTGCAATCAATCCAACAGAGAATAGGCCAGCAAATAACCCTTCTTCCCTGCTTGGCAATGCTGAGTTCCTTATGGCAATGAGACCATGCTCTTACATGAAAGCAGAAGAAACGTAAGAGATGCAGAAACAAGACTTGGGATCCCACACTTAGGATAAAAGAAGGTACATTTTCAAGGGTAAATGCAGCCCATTGTACCTGGTTCTTCACGTTCTCAAGGTCCCTCTGCCATCTCTGCATCACAAAACTCAGCTCCTCAATCTCTTGCTGGTGGGACTTCAGTTCACTGCATTGCTTCCTCTTTGCCTCCTCGAGCTCTTGGTACTGACAGAAAAGACAGAGCTGGCAGAAAGCACTGGTGGTGTTTGCAACATAGGAGCCTTTCCTCTGTTTCCAAACTTGAGGAAAGTTCTCATGCATAGAGCTCCTGAGGCTGTCAGCAGCAAACAGAGCATTCCTCCTGCAGCCCTCAACTCACCCACCACCTCTCCATTGCCTGCACGGCTCAGTGCTGTCCTATTGCACTGTGTGCATTTGGGGGATGATCTCCTGACTTGGAGATTCCATCAGGTTTAGAAGAATGGAAAGCTAAGTCTGGAAGTCACATACTCAAGACACAATGAGTGAAGTCATTGCCTCTGAGCTACTACATTTGGCACCTACAGAGCTAACAATGTGTTCCTGGTTGTTACAACTTACCCTAGCTCTGTACAGTGCTTCCAATTCCGCCTTGCTTTTCTGTGCTGCATCTTCATACCACAGCTCAATGCCCCTGAGGATGCCCTCTGTGCCCAGGCTTTGGCTGTTGTCCATTTTCACCACAACAGAGGTGTCACAGAGACTTTTCTCCAGCTCAGCAGTTCCCTAGGAGCCATAAGAAGAAGCTGTCAGCATTTCTTATCTCACATTCCAGTGATTCACCATCAATGAGAGTTTGTCTGGAGCCAGAGCCCATGAGCTGTCACTTGATTTGGTCATGCATGCAGCTAGAAGGAGTTCTTTTAAGGTCGCAAAGGCTTCCTTGTTCCCACTGCCTCTCAGAGGGAGTCTGCTGGGTTGGTTTAATCAGGCCTACATCAGGGTAGACAAGGAGAGGTTTACAGGAACGTCTGCAAGAATGGGAGAGGAGCATCCATACCTGAGCAGACACACACTTCAGGAGCTCTGTCTGCTGCTTGAGGGTTTCCAGTTTCGCTTCCAGCTCTGCTTTGGTGAGGTAGACACAGTCCACATCCTAAAAGGGTTCCAGCATTAAGGGTAACTTCATTAAGTTTTTAGCCTAAGAGATTTTGTTTAGGTGATGTAATGGGGAATTTTTTCTGAATCCACACTTGTCCAATGACTTTCAGCATTCTCAAAACCTGACCCATGTCTTGCAAGCACTGGGTCTGAGGAAATTCCTTGGATACCTCAACCCATCCTTTCTGCCCACCCGAATTCCTTACCTTCTTCAGCAGCACAAGCTCAGTCTCAGCAGCTGTGCATCTGTTCACCTCCTGCTCATATCTGTTGGGGAAGAGATGGGACCAGTTGCTGAGTCACCCTGAGGCTGCAGCCTTGTCTGCGTACTGGGGGAGTTTGGGGTGCTTTGGGATCTCAGCCTTTATCAGACAGAAGTTTGTTGGTACTGACGAAAGGAAGTCCGGCTGGAGAAGCTGTTTCAGCTCTCTGTCCTGGGAACTCACTTGCATTTGGCCTCTTCAATGAGCTTCTCAGTGTTGTTCAGCTCCAGCTCCATCTGCTCCTGCTCGTGCAGCAGTGAGTCCAGCCTCCTCTGAAGGCTGCAGATGAAAGTGTTGAAGACGTGCTTAAAATTCTTCTGGGATGGCAGGAGGTGCTTTTGGAGGAGGGCCCATTTGGTGGCCAGCAGCCTGTTCTGCTGCTCCAGATGCTGCACCTGAGTTCAGAATGCAAAGCACATGTGAAGGCATATCATATGGGGACCAGATAAATGTGAGGGAACAGACATTCTCTCCTGAGTTCGTGCTCCAGGGACAAATTATGGTTTGAAGGCAACAAAAGGACAAAAGGGGAGCATTGGAGGCTTTGCCACCCAAGAATGCTAAAGCAAGCTGGGCGTGCTGCTCTGCCATTCTCCAAGAAAGCCCCACAGCCTCTGTGGCTGCTAAGGAACCATGGGCTCTTTAAGCAGATCAGCAGGCTGATAAAGGAAACCATCATTTGTGAGTAGGAGGCAATGCAGCTTACAAGGTCTACCTGCACAGAGAGAGGGCAGCAGTGCAGGAGTTCAGGCAGATCCCTTAGAGGAACAGCTCCCTTCTGCCATTAATGGCAGCTTGTCAAAGCATAATAGTAATCAGATTAAAATTACATTATCAGCTAGATCTGCACTTACAGTTAATGGCAATGGAGCCATATGTATTAAAACAGCTTGTGATACAAAGAATGGGACAGGAGAAGGAAAGGAATGAAAGATCCAAGCACGAATAGCTTTCCTCTATACTTAAACCTCATCACTCTCTTAATCTTTCCCCATCTCTCACCTTGTCAATCAAACAGGCAAACTGGTTATTGAGGCTCCTCATTTGCTCTCTCTCCTGCCTTCGGATGCGCTGGATTTCGGGGTCGATCTTCACATCAAGCGGCCGCAGCAGGTTCTCATTGACACGCACTGCACGAATGCCCTCCCTTCCACAGCCGGGGAAGCCCAGCATTCTCCCATGCTTCCCGCCCTCTCCACTGGCACGAACACCAGAAGAAATCCATTTACACCCATCCACGTTTTGCAGGCTTTGGCTGCTCCAGGTTCCATAACCTCTTCCAAACGGAGCAGTGGAGGGGAAGGCACTGCTCCGGCAGCAGCTCATGCCACCACCAGCAGAAGATGCTGAGAACTTCCTTCCATGAAGAGCCCTTCCAGCTGCGAGCTGCTGGCTCATGCTGGTTGATGTAACCCAAGAGAGGATGAAGGACACAGGGCTGCAGGAAGAGAGTGGAGCAGGCAGCTCCAAAAGGGCCCCTCTGCTCTGCCACCCCCGAGCACCACCTTTATACACATCTCAGGAGCAGGGCTTGGTTAAGGCAGATAAATAATTTGGGGTTTTTGCGAGGTTTGCCTCACCTGGCAGCAATTCATAGGTTTAAATATGCAAAACAATGCCTAATACTGAACATTTGTGAAATCCTATGGAATTTTGCTGTTTGTAAATTGCTTTGCTTGCCTTCCCAGCCTTGAGGACACCGTGGGCTGAGTTTTGCAAGGATTCTTCTTTTTCTCAGCATGTCTTCCTTCCTTCCATTAATCACCCTTGAGAGAATCTCCCACTCGGTGAAGGAAAGTTTGTAGGGCAATTTTCTGTTGGACAGCAAATTAAAACTGAGTTTTGCATTATCTGCTCCTTTTGTAGCCACTCCCTTGGGATTCTCTGAGTCTTGCACTGGTTATTAGGGAAATTTATTCTCAGAAAGAGTGGTCAGGCACTGGCACAGACTGCCCAGGAAGGTGGTGGGAGTCACCATTGCTGGAGGTGTTCAAGAGCCATGGAGACTCTTGGTGGCACTGAGGGACCTGGCTCAGCAGGCATGGTGGGTTGAGTCAACCTCTGGACTGGAAGATCTTGCAGGTCTTTTCCAACTTGAATGATCCTGTGAGTGGGCATGGTGGGGATGGGCTGGTGGTTAGGCTTGCTGATCTTAGAGGTCTTCTCCAGCCCTAATAATTCTAAGATTCTATAATTCCAAGTCTTTCACAGAGTAGCAAAGATGGGACGTGTCCACCAGGCACGACACCTCGAAGCTGGGACACGGGGTGGACTGGGACACAGATTTCCTCACACAGGAGTGTGAATAATTCTTTTTACATAGCCCTCTACACACCATCCCTTGTTAAAGAACATCACTGGTTGAGCATGAGTCACCTCCTCTAACTTTCGATGCAAAGCTGTGCTGAGATAGCTCTCCAGAGAGCCTTTCTCTTCTTCACTGACTGCAATGAAAGCCTAAAATGACAAGGTCAGGCTTAGATGCCCAACTTTTAGAAGTACAGATAAGTGCAGCTGTATCTTCTCACTAAGTTTTTAACCCTGATTGTATAGAATACACCACCACCAAAAAAAAAAAAAAAAAAAAAAAAAAAAGAAAAGATTCCTTGAAGATAATAAATACTCTAGAAAGCTTAGCCACAAAGCTGTTAGCTGGATGCTTGCTAACCATTTAATTGGGAGCACTGGTAGGCTTGGCCTTGGTGGGAAGGCAGCAAATGGAGCAGCAACCATTCAAAACCACGCACCTTATTAATACAGCTACTCTATGGCTATTCCCTGTCACTATCCTTTATATTTGAGCTTGTAATTAAAACTCAGGATACCTCAAGGCAAATAAAAATGATTTATTAGGGTTGCTTGACAGATGGGGAAGAAAAGGCTGATAATTTTAATACCTTTGCTGAGATCCTCACAATGCCTCAGGGTGGAGCCAAGATTACATCTCTGTCCTGGTGGCATCTTTCTAAAGCCTCTTCCAAAACAGAAAGGCAAAGGGTTTCATTTCAGAGGGTTTGGAAAAAGAGGTTTTCCCCTTCTATTATGCCATCTTAAGGTGTAACTTCTCAATAGGCTCAAAACTTGACCAATATTTTTGGCAATGAAGCAGCCAAATGTTTCAATTTTTGGAAAAAAGGAAGGAAGGAAGGAAGGAAGGAAGGAAGGAAGGAAGGAAGGAAGGAAGGAAGGAAGGAAGGAAGGAAGGAAGGAAAGATTTCATTTGTTTATTTCTTTCCTGGCTTTAGCAAGGAGATTTTTTTGTTGTTGTTGTTCATTTCCTGGTTTCATTGGAAGGCTTTCTTGCCACCTTTCACAAGAAGACTGACGAAAAGCAAAACTGGTTACCAGAAACCTTGCTGGTATTCTGTCTGAGGAGCGGCTGATGTCAAAGGTTTTCTTGTACCTCATTACTTGCAAATGTTCTTCACTGGAACAGTTTGCCCTTAGCCCAGCAAGAGAGATAATTGATGGTATGCAGTAGCTGGAAAGACAACCAGCTTAATTGCAGGTTCTTGACAGCACTATCAATTACACCTACGCACAGAAGAGCAGGAATGATTGAAGCCCTGGGTGTCTCACTTGCCTGCTTAAATACTGGCAGAGTCCATGGCAGTCCCAGCTGGAAGAGCAGGATCAGAGCCCAGGAGGAGGACTTGGCCTGGAGCTGCTCCAACTCCATGCTCATCTTGTGCTTCCAGGCTGTCTCTCCTTGGTCTCCCACAGAACTCCTTGCTGCATCCTGTGGCCCGGAGACGGGCTGTTGTGGTGCTTGGTGACTCTGCTGCACCTTAGGAGCAGAGATCTCATGGTGCTCCGCCTGGCAATGAGTGTTTGCACCTCTCAGGGTTAGCTCCAAGCTTTTATTCCCTTGTTGGTGCAGAGCCCACAGGGTTATAGCTCCTGCTTTCAATAGTTTTCTCTCCCTAGACACACTTTGATGAGTAAAACTCCTGAACTCTGGTTTTTGCTCCCCTAGACACAGCAAAAGGTTCATCTGTCTGGAGCAGCCTCACCTCTGACTCCAAGTCCTGATGTCCCCCCATGACTTTGAGTCCCCAGAAGGCAGCAGTGCCACATGAGCCTTTTGGTTGTTTTCTGCTGCTCAGCAGTGCTTTAATGGGACGTACAGTCAGCTCTGCCCTCCTCTCCCAGCTTCACCTCGTCCCACCCAACTTGCTGCAGGAGCTAGAATTTGTGTGTGGCGTTGGCTCAGAGAGATGACCTAGGTTTAGCATTCAACAACTCTTCTCCTCTTGCATCCTGCTGATGGGACTCCATGTCACTGTCACAGCAATCCCAGCTACTGCAGCCCTCTTGCAGGTGATAGGAGTTGTATGTGTTTGCGAGCACCTAGCAGAAAGGGGAATGGCTATTAAGGTGATCACAGCTCGCTAATTTTCTTCTAATCACCAGGAATTTTGGAAAGAGGCCCAGCAGTAAATATAGAAGACCCACAATTCTGATGTTGCCGTGACTAATTTCACGGCTTTCTGCCAAAGTAAATCAGGAGGGAACTTTTTGTTCTGGCAAACTGGGCACAAGCTTCAAACTCTGTCAGGTTGGGAGAGAGCTCCATAACCAGCTCTGCAGCACAACTTCTTTCTCCCACTAGGTGGTGGCATCTATTGCATCTTCAGCAGCCCTGCCCAGAAAGGTTCCTGGTTAAGTTCTTGGTGGTGACATGATCCTGATCACAACTCCTCCAACACTCTGCAAGGATATAGCTAGCAAGGGCTGGCTCCCTCCTGCAGAGGGCAACGTTTGGGAGGAAGGACGGCGTGGGGACAAGGTCCCCAGTCTTGCAAGAAGGTGAAATTCCTTATGGATTTGTACCCTGATGTTGGCTGTGAGCCTGGGATGTTTTCTAAATGCAGAGTTACCACCACTGACCTACTGTCATCTTCGCCATCTCGGTGTCCTCCCCTCCTACCTGAAGTTTTGCTCCTGCTGTCAGAGTTTCTGGATGCTCACACCATGCTGAGGCCCAGGCTGTTCATGTGTCCTTCCTGCAGTGTTACATGCCAGCCACGTTCACAGTTGACTGCTTCTACCCACCTCAAGTCTTTAACACGTTGATCTGAAGGTCTCAATTTCTGCCCTTGTTCTCATGATTTTGACTCAGCCTTCAAAATTCCAAATGTCTCTGGGTGCAACCTTAGCCATCTGGTGGCATCTGAGAGCAGAAATGGCCCTATAACCCCTCATGGCCCTACAGCCCCTCATGGCCTGCAGATCCTCATGGCCCTACCACCCCTTATGGCCCAACAATCCCTCATGACCCTATAGCTTCTCATGACCCTACAGCCCCCTCTGAAGGAGGGCAGAGGTAGGCACTGGTCTCTACTCTCTGCAATTTTATTTTTTTTTTTAATATTATATTATTAGATATGTTAAATTCTAGGTCAGATTTTTTACTCCTTTACACACAGGTAATTTGGTGTAGAAAGAGTTGCCAAAACACTCATCTCCAGAAACTGGAGATATCATTATAGCTCAGCTGACAAGCAGAACAGGTTTTGATGTACCTTTCCAAACCATTCGTTCACAAAATTAGCCCAGCACTCAAGGCTATGTACTACCAGTGTGTAAACAGTACTTAAAGCAACGTGGTGGAAATGCTGATCCAGCCCTCGTATAAGGTCAGGGTTAGCAATCTCTCTTCCACATTGGTCTCCCAGGCTCCTGCAAAGTCAACTGAAGCAGATGGTTTGTCTGATCTCCAGCAGTGATTCATCCTGCACTAAGGTGGATGCACAAATTAGACCTTTTGAACTGCCTCCAGAAATGCTTGTTTCTCTCCGTTGACTCTACCTTCTTCCTTTTCTCCCTTTCACTCTACAGAATGCATCAGAAAAAAAAGAAACCCACAGACCTGACCACAGTGTTCATATTAATTCTTTATTTCTTCTGATGGCACGGATTAGAGATGAAAAGCTCCAGGCATCCTCTCTACATAATTTAAGCGTGAAACAAAAGCCCAGCAACACTTTGTAAGGTGCACTTAAAATAGAAGGGGCCTTCAGTTTTTGCTGTGGGAGAGGAGCATTGTCTTATCTCCTCTGTTAGGTAAAAATGATGTAACTTGCCCCTTGGGTCCTGAAGAATTGAGCTGTTTCAGTGCCTGGCATTGCAGCAGCCATTAACAAGGCGAGCAAAGTGTCCCAGCTATCCGAGCACAGCTCTGCAGGGCATTGTGCAAGCTGAGGTGCACTCACACCACCCACACACTGAACCTGCGGGGTGTGAGCCAGTGTGGATGAAAACTTGAGTTTATCTTATCAGGGTTTGATAATACAACCTCCAGCACAGCCTCGCAACAGCTGGCAGTTTCCACACGTGTGGGGCTTTCTGCGTTGGGTGAGAGCAGTGATAACTCAGTTTTGCCTGAAATTTTCCTAGCCCTCCCTGTTTGAAGGGCATTTCAAGCTGCTTCCAGACCACATCATTAAGGTTCAATTTAGCCTTTTGTGTCTGTGAATCTTCTCTACTAGCTTTCATGATTTGATGGACATTTGTAGATGGATCTCCACAGTGGATTTCCTGCCTAGGGAACACCTCACACCCCAGAAAAGAGCTGCCACTGGTTGCCCTTCCCACTGCTATTCACAATCTGATTTCCTAGGAAAACAGTTTAGAGGTTCCTACTTTCTCTCTGAATGGGAATAGACAAGAGATATTCCTGGTGTGGGTTATGATACTCCAGTTATCTAAGTGTTGCTAAATTAAGATGACACCATTGCATTGAGCTTTTTGAACAAACCTTCCTGGTAACCTCAGCTGCTCTGTCCATCATCAGAAGATGCAAATAGGATAGAGCCAGGTCTCCTTGCAGTGGTGCCCATTGCCAGGAGAAGAGGAAATGAGCATAAACTGCAAGACAAGAGCTTCCAGCTAAATAGTAGGAAATATTTAATTGTAAGTACGAAGACTGGAAAAGGTTGCTCAAAAATAACCAAAAACCATGGATATTGTCTTGGGCCCATGGTCCGTGACCTGAGTGGCCCTGTTTGAGAAGAGGGGTTGGACTAGATGGGCCCAGAGATGCCTTCCAAACCCAACCTCATAGAGAGATTCCATGAACTGAGATGGATCCACGTGTCCTGGTTGTGGATTTGGCCAATGGAACGTGTACCCTGAAACCCTTCTTCACAGCAAATGGTCCACTTACACACCACCAACCAAAAGTTATCCTGTTTCTAATAAATTTGCCCTGACTTTGGATCAGGTCTGCATAAAATGTTTTTTGTATTTCATTCAGTTGGTTCGAAAGTCTCATAGATGTCAGAGCTGCACTCACGAATAGACACACAGACACAGGACAGGGTGTCAAGCTTTTAGTTGGCAAAGAAAAAACACCAGACAGAATGAGCTGAAGGGCTCAGGCCATTACAGAAAAAGACTAAGGAAACAAGACAAATCATCAAAACACAGTCACAAGAGAGAGGTGCAGCAGATTGGAGAATTCAGCACATGGCTGTATATGGAGAAAAATGGTCGGTGTCACAGGTGACCCAGTGATGGACAGAAAAGCCATACTTGCATTGAAAGCAAGGGGAAAGCCTTTCTCCCATTCCAGCAGAAAAAATTACTTGTGGTAAGGATCACCAGAAAAATCAGAAGTCTCTGAGCCAAAAACCGAGCCAGACGAGAATGAACATCTAGGACAAGATGGCTCAACCTCAGAGCTGCATTCTCGAGTTTCAACCCTAGGACCATAATATTCAAATCCGCCACACTCACCACCAGCCTGGTAAGATACATCGCCACCAGAAAAATGCCCGCTTTCAACGCCATACCCCCCAGTGCCAGAACTACAGATATCCACAGAGCAAGAACCATCATAGCCATAACCTTCACCAATAGAACTTGAACCCAAAAAACCAGAGCTGTGACCAACAGGAGAAATACAAGATCCTCCACTGAAAGATCGAGCACCATGGGATACCGACCCACCACTTCCAAAGCCACCCCCAGATCCCGACCCAGAGCCAGAGCTTCCTCCTCCACAGATGGAGCCTCCACTTCCACTGCCGTAGCTCGATCCCCCATGACCTGAGCTCCCTCCTTCTCCCGAAATGGACCCTCTCCTGCCAGAGCCACTGCTCCCTCCAGAGCTCAGCCCTCCACCGTGAGGACTGCTTCGGCCACTGCCGGAGCTCGACCCAAAGCCTCCAGAGCTGTGGCCACCTCCAGGTGACGAACCACCACTGCCAAAGCCACCCCCAGATCCCGACCCAGAGCCAGAGCTTCCTCCTCTACAGATAGAGCCTCCACTTCCACTGCCATAGCTGGAACCGCCATGACCTGAGCTTCCACCTCCTCCAGAAATAGACCCCCTCCTGCCAGATCCACTGCCAGAGCTCGACCCAAAGCCTCCGGAGCTGTGGCCACCTCCAGACGAGGACCCACCACTGCCAAAGCTTCCTCCAGAACCTGACCCAGAGCCAGAGCCAGAGTCTCCTCCTCCACAGATGGAGCCTCCACTTCCACTGCCGTAGCTCGATCCCCCATGACCTGAGCTCCCTCCTTCTCCCGAAATGGACCCTCTCCTGCCAGAGCCACTGCTCCCTCCAGAGCTCAGCCCTCCACCGTGAGGACTGCTTCGGCCACTGCCGGAGCTCGACCCAAAGCCTCCAGAGCTGTGGCCACCTCCTGGTGACGAACCACCACTGCCAAAGCCACCCCCAGATCCCGACCCAGAGCCAGAGCTTCCTCCTCTACAGATAGAGCCTCCACTTCCACTGCCATAGCTGGAACCGCCATGACCTGAGCTTCCACCTCCTCCAGAAATAGACCCCCTCCTGCCAGATCCACTGCCAGAGCTCGACCCAAAGCCTCCGGAGCTGTGGCCACCTCCAGACGAGGACCCACCACTGCCAAAGCTTCCTCCAGAACCTGACCCAGAGCCAGAGCCAGAGCCAGAGCCAGAGCCTCCTCCTCCACAGATGGAGCCTCCACTTCCACTGCCGTAGCTCGATCCCCCATGACCTGAGCTCCCTCCTTCTCCCGAAATGGACCCTCTCCTGCCAGAGCCACTGCTCCCTCCAGAGCTCAGTCCTCCACCGTGAGGACTGCTTCGGCCACTGCCGGAGCTCGACCCAAAGCCTCCAGAGCCGTGGCCACCTCCAGGTGACGAACCACCACTGCCAAAGCCACCCCCAGATCCCGACCCAGAGCCAGAGCTTCCTCCTCTACAGATAGAGCCTCCACTTCCACTGCCATAGCTGGAACCGCCATGACCTGAGCTTCCACCTCCTCCAGAAATAGACCCCCTCCTGCCAGATCCACTGCCAGAGCTCGACCCAAAGCCTCCGGAGCTGTGGCCACCTCCAGACGAGGACCCACCACTGCCAAAGCTTCCTCCAGAACCTGACCCAGAGCCAGAGCCAGAGCCTCCTCCTCCACAGATGGAGCCTCCACTTCCACTGCCATAGCTCGATCCCCCATGACCTGAGCTCCCTCCTTCTCCCGAAATGGACCCTCTCCTGCCAGAGCCACTGCTCCCTCCAGAGCTCAGCCCTGCACCGTGAGGACTGCTTCGGCCACTGCCGGAGCTCGACCCAAAGCCTCCAGAGCTGTGGCCAACTCCTGGTGACGAACCACCACTGCCAAAGCCACCCCCAGATCCCGACCCAGAGCCAGAGCTTCCTCCTCTACAGATAGAGCCTCCACTTCCACTGCCATAGCTGGAACCGCCATGACCTGAGCTTCCACCTCCTCCAGAAATAGACCCCCTCCTGCCAGATCCACTGCCAGAGCTCGACCCAAAGCCTCCGGAGCTGTGGCCACCTCCAGACGAGGACCCACCACTGCCAAAGCTTCCTCCAGAACCTGACCCAGAGCCAGAGCCAGAGCCTCCTCCTCCACAGATGGAGCCTCCACTTCCACTGCCGTAGCTCGATCCCCCATGACCTGAGCTCCCTCCTTCTCCCGAAATGGACCCTCTCCTGCCAGAGCCACTGCTCCCTCCAGAGCTCAGCCCTCCACCGTGAGGACTGCTTCGGCCACTGCCGGAGCTCGACCCAAAGCCTCCAGAGCTGTGGCCAACTCCTGGTGACGAACCACCACTGCCAAAGCCACCCCCAGATCCCGACCCAGAGCCAGAGCTTCCTCCTCTACAGATAGAGCCTCCACTTCCACTGCCATAGCTGGAACCGCCATGACCTGAGCTTCCACCTCCTCCAGAAATAGACCCCCTCCTGCCAGATCCACTGCCAGAGCTCGACCCAAAGCCTCCGGAGCTGTGGCCACCTCCAGACGAGGACCCACCACTGCCAAAGCTTCCTCCAGAACCTGACCCAGAGCCTGAGCCAGAGCCTCCTCCTCCACAGATGGAGCCTCCACTTCCACTGCCATAGCTCGATCCCCCATGACCTGAGCTCCCTCCTTCTCCCGAAATGGACCCTCTCCTGCCAGAGCCACTGCTCCCTCCAGAGCTCAGCCCTCCACCGTGAGGACTGCTTCGGCCACTGCCAGAGCTCGACCCAAAGCCTCCAGAGCTGTGGCCAACTCCTGGTGACGAACCACCACTGCCAAAGCCACCCCCAGATCCCGACCCAGAGCCAGAGCTTCCTCCTCTACAGATAGAGCCTCCACTTCCACTGCCATAGCTGGAACCGCCATGACCTGAGCTTCCACCTCCTCCAGAAATAGACCCCCTCCTGCCAGATCCACTGCCAGAGCTCGACCCAAAGCCTCCGGAGCTGTGGCCACCTCCAGACGAGGACCCACCACTGCCAAAGCTTCCTCCAGAACCTGACCCAGAGCCAGAGCCAGAGCCTCCTCCTCCACAGATGGAGCCTCCACTTCCACTGCCGTAGCTCGATCCCCCATGACCTGAGCTCCCTCCTTCTCCCGAAATGGACCCTCTCCTGCCAGAGCCACTGCTCCCTCCAGAGCTCAGCCCTCCACCGTGAGGACTGCTTCGGCCACTGCCGGAGCTCGACCCAAAGCCTCCAGAGCCGTGGCCACCTCCAGGTGACGAACCACCACTGCCAAAGCCACCCCCAGATCCCGACCCAGAGCCAGAGCTTCCTCCTCTACAGATAGAGCCTCCACTTCCACTGCCATAGCTGGAACCGCCATGACCTGAGCTTCCACCTCCTCCAGAAATAGACCCCCTCCTGCCAGATCCACTGCCAGAGCTCGACCCAAAGCCTCCGGAGCTGTGGCCACCTCCAGACGAGGACCCACCACTGCCAAAGCTTCCTCCAGAACCTGACCCAGAGCCAGAGCCAGAGTCTCCTCCTCCACAGATGGAGCCTCCACTTCCACTGCCGTAGCTCGATCCCCCATGACCTGAGCTCCCTCCTTCTCCCGAAATGGACCCTCTCCTGCCAGAGCCACTGCTCCCTCCAGAGCTCAGCCCTCCACCGTGAGGACTGCTTCGGCCACTGCCGGAGCTCGACCCAAAGCCTCCAGAGCTGTGGCCACCTCCAGGTGACGAACCACCACTGCCAAAGCCACCCCCAGATCCCGACCCAGAGCCAGAGCTTCCTCCTCTACAGATAGAGCCTCCACTTCCACTGCCATAGCTGGAACCGCCATGACCTGAGCTTCCACCTCCTCCAGAAATAGACCCCCTCCTGCCAGATCCACTGCCAGAGCTCGACCCAAAGCCTCCGGAGCTGTGGCCACCTCCAGACGAGGACCCACCACTGCCAAAGCTTCCTCCAGAACCTGACCCAGAGCCAGAGCCAGAGCCAGAGCCAGAGCCTCCTCCTCCACAGATGGAGCCTCCACTTCCACTGCCGTAGCTCGATCCCCCATGACCTGAGCTCCCTCCTTCTCCCGAAATGGACCCTCTCCTGCCAGAGCCACTGCTCCCTCCAGAGCTCAGCCCTCCACCGTGAGGACTGCTTCGGCCACTGCCGGAGCTCGACCCAAAGCCTCCAGAGCTGTGGCCAACTCCTGGTGACGAACCACCACTGCCAAAGCCACCCCCAGATCCCGACCCAGAGCCAGAGCTTCCTCCTCTACAGATAGAGCCTCCACTTCCACTGCCATAGCTGGAACCGCCATGACCTGAGCTTCCACCTCCTCCAGAAATAGACCCCCTCCTGCCAGATCCACTGCCAGAGCTCGACCCAAAGCCTCCGGAGCTGTGGCCACCTCCAGACGAGGACCCACCACTGCCAAAGCTTCCTCCAGAACCTGACCCAGAGCCAGAGCCAGAGCCTCCTCCTCCACAGATGGAGCCTCCACTTCCACTGCCATAGCTCGATCCCCCATGACCTGAGCTCCCTCCTTCTCCCGAAATGGACCCTCTCCTGCCAGAGCCACTGCTCCCTCCAGAGCTCAGCCCTCCACCGTGAGGACTGCTTCGGCCACTGCCAGAGCTCGACCCAAAGCCTCCAGAGCTGTGGCCAACTCCTGGTGACGAACCACCACTGCCAAAGCCACCCCCAGATCCCGACCCAGAGCCAGAGCTTCCTCCTCTACAGATAGAGCCTCCACTTCCACTGCCATAGCTGGAACCGCCATGACCTGAGCTTCCACCTCCTCCAGAAATAGACCCCCTCCTGCCAGATCCACTGCCAGAGCTCGACCCAAAGCCTCCGGAGCTGTGGCCACCTCCAGACGAGGACCCACCACTGCCAAAGCTTCCTCCAGAACCTGACCCAGAGCCAGAGCCAGAGCCTCCTCCTCCACAGATGGAGCCTCCACTTCCACTGCCGTAGCTCGATCCCCCATGACCTGAGCTCCCTCCTTCTCCCGAAATGGACCCTCTCCTGCCAGAGCCACTGCTCCCTCCAGAGCTCAGCCCTCCACCGTGAGGACTGCTTCGGCCACTGCCGGAGCTCGACCCAAAGCCTCCAGAGCCGTGGCCACCTCCAGGTGACGAACCACCACTGCCAAAGCCACCCCCAGATCCCGACCCAGAGCCAGAGCTTCCTCCTCTACAGATAGAGCCTCCACTTCCACTGCCATAGCTGGAACCACCATGACCTGAGCTTCCACCTCCTCCAGAAATAGACCCCCTCCTGCCAGATCCACTGCCAGAGCTCGACCCAAAGCCTCCGGAGCTGTGGCCACCTCCAGACGAGGACCCACCACTGCCAAAGCTTCCTCCAGAACCTGACCCAGAGCCAGAGCCAGAGTCTCCTCCTCCACAGATGGAGCCTCCACTTCCACTGCCGTAGCTCGATCCCCCATGACCTGAGCTCCCTCCTTCTCCCGAAATGGACCCTCTCCTGCCAGAGCCACTGCTCCCTCCAGAGCTCAGCCCTCCACCGTGAGGACTGCTTCGGCCACTGCCGGAGCTCGACCCAAAGCCTCCAGAGCTGTGGCCAACTCCTGGTGACGAACCACCACTGCCAAAGCCACCCCCAGATCCCGACCCAGAGCCAGAGCTTCCTCCTCTACAGATAGAGCCTCCACTTCCACTGCCATAGCTGGAACCGCCATGACCTGAGCTTCCACCTCCTCCAGAAATAGACCCCCTCCTGCCAGATCCACTGCCAGAGCTCGACCCAAAGCCTCCGGAGCTGTGGCCACCTCCAGACGAGGACCCACCACTGCCAAAGCTTCCTCCAGAACCTGACCCAGAGCCAGAGCCAGAGCCTCCTCCTCCACAGATGGAGCCTCCACTTCCACTGCCGTAGCTCGATCCCCCATGACCTGAGCTCCCTCCTTCTCCCGAAATGGACCCTCTCCTGCCAGAGCCACTGCTCCCTCCAGAGCTCAGCCCTCCACCGTGAGGACTGCTTCGGCCACTGCCGGAGCTCGACCCAAAGCCTCCAGAGCTGTGGCCAACTCCTGGTGACGAACCACCACTGCCAAAGCCACCCCCAGATCCCGACCCAGAGCCAGAGCTTCCTCCTCTACAGATAGAGCCTCCACTTCCACTGCCATAGCTGGAACCGCCATGACCTGAGCTTCCACCTCCTCCAGAAATAGACCCCCTCCTGCCAGATCCACTGCCAGAGCTCGACCCAAAGCCTCCGGAGCTGTGGCCACCTCCAGACGAGGACCCACCACTGCCAAAGCTTCCTCCAGAACCTGACCCAGAGCCAGAGCCAGAGCCTCCTCCTCCACAGATGGAGCCTCCACTTCCACTGCCATAGCTCGATCCCCCATGACCTGAGCTCCCTCCTTCTCCCGAAATGGACCCTCTCCTGCCAGAGCCACTGCTCCCTCCAGAGCTCAGCCCTCCACCGTGAGGACTGCTTCGGCCACTGCCAGAGCTCGACCCAAAGCCTCCAGAGCTGTGGCCAACTCCTGGTGACGAACCACCACTGCCAAAGCCACCCCCAGATCCCGACCCAGAGCCAGAGCTTCCTCCTCTACAGATAGAGCCTCCACTTCCACTGCCATAGCTGGAACCGCCATGACCTGAGCTTCCACCTCCTCCAGAAATAGACCCCCTCCTGCCAGATCCACTGCCAGAGCTCGACCCAAAGCCTCCGGAGCTGTGGCCACCTCCAGACGAGGACCCACCACTGCCAAAGCTTCCTCCAGAACCTGACCCAGAGCCAGAGCCAGAGCCTCCTCCTCCACAGATGGAGCCTCCACTTCCACTGCCGTAGCTCGATCCCCCATGACCTGAGCTCCCTCCTTCTCCCGAAATGGACCCTCTCCTGCCAGAGCCACTGCTCCCTCCAGAGCTCAGCCCTCCACCGTGAGGACTGCTTCGGCCACTGCCGGAGCTCGACCCAAAGCCTCCAGAGCCGTGGCCACCTCCAGGTGACGAACCACCACTGCCAAAGCCACCCCCAGATCCCGACCCAGAGCCAGAGCTTCCTCCTCTACAGATAGAGCCTCCACTTCCACTGCCATAGCTGGAACCGCCATGACCTGAGCTTCCACCTCCTCCAGAAATAGACCCCCTCCTGCCAGATCCACTGCCAGAGCTCGACCCAAAGCCTCCGGAGCTGTGGCCACCTCCAGACGAGGACCCACCACTGCCAAAGCTTCCTCCAGAACCTGACCCAGAGCCAGAGCCAGAGCCTCCTCCTCCACAGATGGAGCCTCCACTTCCACTGCCGTAGCTCGATCCCCCATGACCTGAGCTCCCTCCTTCTCCCGAAATGGACCCTCTCCTGCCAGAGCCACTGCTCCCTCCAGAGCTCAGCCCTCCACCGTGAGGACTGCTTCGGCCACTGCCGGAGCTCGACCCAAAGCCTCCAGAGCTGTGGCCAACTCCTGGTGACGAACCACCACTGCCAAAGCCACCCCCAGATCCCGACCCAGAGCCAGAGCTTCCTCCTCTACAGATAGAGCCTCCACTTCCACTGCCATAGCTGGAACCGCCATGACCTGAGCTTCCACCTCCTCCAGAAATAGACCCCCTCCTGCCAGATCCACTGCCAGAGCTCGACCCAAAGCCTCCGGAGCTGTGGCCACCTCCAGACGAGGACCCACCACTGCCAAAGCTTCCTCCAGAACCTGACCCAGAGCCAGAGCCAGAGCCAGAGCCAGAGCCTCCTCCTCCACAGATGGAGCCTCCACTTCCACTGCCATAGCTCGATCCCCCATGACCTGAGCTCCCTCCTTCTCCCGAAATGGACCCTCTCCTGCCAGAGCCACTGCTCCCTCCAGAGCTCAGCCCTCCACCGTGAGGACTGCTTCGGCCACTGCCGGAGCTCGACCCAAAGCCTCCAGAGCTGTGGCCAACTCCTGGTGACGAACCACCACTGCCAAAGCCACCCCCAGATCCCGACCCAGAGCCAGAGCTTCCTCCTCTACAGATAGAGCCTCCACTTCCACTGCCATAGCTGGAACCGCCATGACCTGAGCTTCCACCTCCTCCAGAAATAGACCCCCTCCTGCCAGATCCACTGCCAGAGCTCGACCCAAAGCCTCCGGAGCTGTGGCCACCTCCAGACGAGGACCCACCACTGCCAAAGCTTCCTCCAGAACCTGACCCAGAGCCAGAGCCAGAGCCTCCTCCTCCACAGATGGAGCCTCCACTTCCACTGCCGTAGCTCGATCCCCCATGACCTGAGCTCCCTCCTTCTCCCGAAATGGACCCTCTCCTGCCAGAGCCACTGCTCCCTCCAGAGCTCAGCCCTCCACCGTGAGGACTGCTTCGGCCACTGCCGGAGCTCGACCCAAAGCCTCCAGAGCTGTGGCCACCTCCTGGTGACGAACCACCACTGCCAAAGCCACCCCCAGATCCCGACCCAGAGCCAGAGCTTCCTCCTCTACAGATAGAGCCTCCACTTCCACTGCCATAGCTGGAACCGCCATGACCTGAGCTTCCACCTCCTCCAGAAATAGACCCCCTCCTGCCAGATCCACTGCCAGAGCTCGACCCAAAGCCTCCGGAGCTGTGGCCACCTCCAGACGAGGACCCACCACTGCCAAAGCTTCCTCCAGAACCTGACCCAGAGCCAGAGCCAGAGCCAGAGCCTCCTCCTCCACAGATGGAGCCTCCACTTCCACTGCCGTAGCTCGATCCCCCATGACCTGAGCTCCCTCCTTCTCCCGAAATGGACCCTCTCCTGCCAGAGCCACTGCTCCCTCCAGAGCTCAGCCCTCCACCGTGAGGACTGCTTCGGCCACTGCCGGAGCTCGACCCAAAGCCTCCAGAGCCGTGGCCACCTCCAGGTGACGAACCACCACTGCCAAAGCCACCCCCAGATCCCGACCCAGAGCCAGAGCTTCCTCCTCTACAGATAGAGCCTCCACTTCCACTGCCATAGCTGGAACCACCATGACCTGAGCTTCCACCTCCTCCAGAAATAGACCCCCTCCTGCCAGATCCACTGCCAGAGCTCGACCCAAAGCCTCCGGAGCTGTGGCCACCTCCAGACGAGGACCCACCACTGCCAAAGCTTCCTCCAGAACCTGACCCAGAGCCAGAGCCAGAGTCTCCTCCTCCACAGATGGAGCCTCCACTTCCACTGCCGTAGCTCGATCCCCCATGACCTGAGCTCCCTCCTTCTCCCGAAATGGACCCTCTCCTGCCAGAGCCACTGCTCCCTCCAGAGCTCAGCCCTCCACCGTGAGGACTGCTTCGGCCACTGCCGGAGCTCGACCCAAAGCCTCCAGAGCTGTGGCCAACTCCTGGTGACGAACCACCACTGCCAAAGCCACCCCCAGATCCCGACCCAGAGCCAGAGCTTCCTCCTCTACAGATAGAGCCTCCACTTCCACTGCCATAGCTGGAACCGCCATGACCTGAGCTTCCACCTCCTCCAGAAATAGACCCCCTCCTGCCAGATCCACTGCCAGAGCTCGACCCAAAGCCTCCGGAGCTGTGGCCACCTCCAGACGAGGACCCACCACTGCCAAAGCTTCCTCCAGAACCTGACCCAGAGCCAGAGCCAGAGCCTCCTCCTCCACAGATGGAGCCTCCACTTCCACTGCCATAGCTCGATCCCCCATGACCTGAGCTCCCTCCTTCTCCCGAAATGGACCCTCTCCTGCCAGAGCCACTGCTCCCTCCAGAGCTCAGCCCTCCACCGTGAGGACTGCTTCGGCCACTGCCGGAGCTCGACCCAAAGCCTCCAGAGCTGTGGCCACCTCCTGGTGACGAACCACCACTGCCAAAGCCACCCCCAGATCCCGACCCAGAGCCAGAGCTTCCTCCTCTACAGATAGAGCCTCCACTTCCACTGCCATAGCTGGAACCGCCATGACCTGAGCTTCCACCTCCTCCAGAAATAGACCCCCTCCTGCCAGATCCACTGCCAGAGCTCGACCCAAAGCCTCCGGAGCTGTGGCCACCTCCAGACGAGGACCCACCACTGCCAAAGCTTCCTCCAGAACCTGACCCAGAGCCAGAGCCAGAGCCTCCTCCTCCACAGATGGAGCCTCCACTTCCACTGCCATAGCTCGATCCCCCATGACCTGAGCTCCCTCCTTCTCCCGAAATGGACCCTCTCCTGCCAGAGCCACTGCTCCCTCCAGAGCTCAGCCCTCCACCGTGAGGACTGCTTCGGCCACTGCCGGAGCTCGACCCAAAGCCTCCAGAGCCGTGGCCACCTCCAGGTGACGAACCACCACTGCCAAAGCCACCCCCAGATCCCGACCCAGAGCCAGAGCTTCCTCCTCTACAGATAGAGCCTCCACTTCCACTGCCATAGCTGGAACCACCATGACCTGAGCTTCCACCTCCTCCAGAAATAGACCCCCTCCTGCCAGATCCACTGCCAGAGCTCGACCCAAAGCCTCCGGAGCTGTGGCCACCTCCAGACGAGGACCCACCACTGCCAAAGCTTCCTCCAGAACCTGACCCAGAGCCAGAGCCAGAGCCAGAGCCAGAGCCTCCTCCTCCACAGATGGAGCCTCCACTTCCACTGCCGTAGCTCGATCCCCCATGACCTGAGCTCCCTCCTTCTCCCGAAATGGACCCTCTCCTGCCAGAGCCACTGCTCCCTCCAGAGCTCAGCCCTCCACCGTGAGGACTGCTTCGGCCACTGCCGGAGCTCGACCCAAAGCCTCCAGAGCTGTGGCCACCTCTGTATGAGGATCCTCCTGTGCTAATTCTCCCTCCTGATGCATACCCAGATCCAGATCCCGACCCTGAGCTCCTTCCAGTATGATATTGCCTTTCTTCTCTTCCTTCTTCTCTTCTACTGCCATGTGTTGATCCCGTATCACTTCGTCTTCCACTGTCACTTCCCCCTCCCGTTCTTGTCTCTGTCCATATTGTCCTGTTGCTATCATCAGAGCTCATCTCTTCCTTTCCTCTGTTGAAGTCACCATGTTCTCTTCCAAAGCCACTTGCACTGCTCTCACTGTGTGTAACAACACCTGCAAGAAGTAAATACATATCAAACTTATTCTTCTAGCATTGACTTCCGTAATCATAAGTTGCATATTAGCTTTCATGTCGGCATGTCTGGGTCTTCTGGAAAGATCATGAGTGAGCCCTTGTTGATCTCTCCTTCAGTTGATTTTCTACTTACAGAAATTTTTTAGGACTATTTCAATTGCTTTTTACATTCACTACATGGACATACTGAACTTTCCTCTATTTCCTATGTGTTTGGCTGAACTTGTTAGAATTTGACCAATAAATTTAAAATCAAGGTTGACATATGTTGATATTTACATGCACATATACATGCACTTTCCCACTCATGAGGGAGTGCCACTTGTTTGTTTTTCCTAGGAAACTAATCTAGAATTACATGGCATCGTTCTGGCAGTCGGTGTTAAGCATACTGCAAGCAAAATACTAACAGTGCCTTTAAGAACTCCGAAACCTGAAGATACTTACGGACATTAGCTGGCACACCTTCCTGTATCCTGTGAACAAAAAGTGACATTGAGAAGATGGAACTACCAAACATGAAAATAATCCTAGGTGCTATCAATAGGCAAACAAAGATTTCGACCCTTCCAGGTAGGAACTCATCTAAGACCAAGTGATGGATCGTAGCATGGGATAGGTTGCTGCTACTTATGATGAGCAGTCTGTGCCTACCTGGTCTCCTCCTCCTCAAGCAGTGACCTGTACATGGCAATTTCAACATCCAGGGCCAATTTTGCATTCAGAAGCTCCTGATAATCATGGAGAATTCGACCCAGGTCTTCCCTGGCCTGCTGCAAAGCGTTCTCCAGCTCCTGAAGCTTTTTCTGTCCGTCTTTGACTGCAGAGCTCCCACGCTGCTCAGCATCTCTGATAGCCTCTTGGTGTCTGTCATTCTGCAGAGGGCATAAATAGAATTTGTCCCTTTTCTTCCAGTGGGACTGGGATTTTCAAGCCCTCCTCATTTTTCTTGGAAATTAAAAGACCGCAATGACAAAGCTTAGAAGATACAACATTAGACTGGGTAAATCAATTGAAATTAAATCCCAGTAGGCACTCCAAATTCAAATTTTCTTCATTTTGAAAATATCATCTTTAGCTTTGCCTCCAAACGGCAGGCTACATTATTCTCCACTTTCTCTCCATGTAAGAGTGGCAAGAATAGTTTAGTCTTGTTGGAATGTATCAGCTTTACCTCTTTCCTGACTATTTCAATTTCCGGCTGCAATCTTTGGATCTGCCTGGTAAGTTCTTGGATTTCCTGGTAACTGCTTCTCAGTTGCTCTCGCTGATTCACCCACATGTTCTGAAGGTCCTGGTACTGATGGGTAGAGAGAAGAGAATGGACATGTTGGTTTCTGGATCAATTAACCCTAAGTAAGGGAGACTCATTCATATGAGTCTAGCTCAGTCGGTAGAGCATGAGACTCTTAATCTCAGGGTCGTGGGTCCGAGACAGCCAGCACGGCTTCACCAAAGGAAGGTCATGCCTAACTAATCTTGTGGCCTTCTATGATGGAGTGACGGCATTGGTGGACAAAGGGAAGGTGACCGATGTCATTTACCTGGACCTGAGCAAGGCCTTTGACATGGTCCCCCACCACATCCTCATCTCCAAATTGGAGGGAAGTGGATTTGATGGGTGGGCGACCCCGATGGATAAGCAATTGGTTGAAAGGCGGCAGACAGAGGGTGGTGGTCAGTGGCTCTATGTCCAGGTGGAGGCCGGTAACAAGTGGTGTCCCCCAAGGGTCTGTCTTGGGACCGGTGCTCTTTAACATCTTTATTAATGACATCGATGAGGGAATTGAGTGCACCCTCAGCAAGTTTGCTGACGACAACAAGCTGAGTGGTGCGGTTGATACGGTGGAAGGAAGGGATGCCATTCAGAGGGACCTCGACAGGCTGGAGGGCTGGGCTCGGGTGAACCTAATGAGGTTCAACACGGCAAAGTGCAAGGTTTTGCATTTGGGCCGGAAGAACCCCAGGCACCCGTACAGGCTGGGAGGAGTGGGCCTTGAGAGCAGCTCGGCAGAGAAGGACCTGGGGGTCCTGATGGACGAGAGACTTAACATGAGCCAGCAGTGCGCTCTGGCAGCTCGAAAGGCAAATGGGATCCTGGGCTCCATCAGGAGAGGGGTGGTCAGCAGGGACAGGGAGGTGATCGTCCCTCTCTACTTGGCTCTTGTGAGGCCCCATCTGGAGTCCTGTGTCCAGGTGTGAAGCCCTCAGTACAAGAAAGACATTGAGATTTTGGAAAGGGTCCAGAGGAGGGCGACTGAGATGAGCAGGGGGCTGGAGCACCTCCCCTATGAGGACAGGCTGAGGGAGCTGGGCTTGTTCAGCCTGGAGAAGAGAAGGCTGCGGAGTGACCTCATTGCAGCCTATCAATATCTGAAGGGAACCTACACCCAGGAGGGGAGTAAACTCTTCAAAAGAGCTGACAACAGCAGGACGAGGGGAAATGGATCCAAGTTGAGGGAGGGAAGATTTAGGTTGGATGTTAGGGGGAAGTTCTTTACAAGGAGAGTGCTTAGGCCCTGGAACGGGCTGCCCAGGGAGGTTGTGGATGCCCCGTCCTTGGACGTGTTCAAGGCCAGGTTGGACGGGGTCCTGGGCAACCTGATCTCAATGTGGATGTTTGGTGGCCCTGCTGGGCAGGGGGGTTGGAACTACATGATCCTTGAGGTCCCTTCCAGCCCAGGTGATTCTGTGATTCTGTGATTCTGTGATATGTCTACTCACCCTGCCTTGGTACATGGCATTGACTTCATCTTTGCCTTTCTGAGCAATTCTCTCATACTCCTGCCGGACTTCTTCAATGATGCTGTCCATGTTCACTTCTCTGCCATTGTTCATGGACAGAATGACATTGGTGTTGTCAACTACTGTTTGCAGCTGGGACAGCTCCTGCAAGGAAAACAAGATTTTTGGATTTTCACAGTTCAGACAAGCAGTTTGGGTCCTGTCATGAGGACTGAAATTGGACCTTCTGGCCAGTTACCCGCTGGAATATCCCAGCCTCCCTCAAGTCCTGCTGCTCCATCCCCAGTTTCAGTTTTCCCATGTCTCTTTCAGCCCCTTTTTTCATTGACAGATTAAAAAAACCCACAACATTATTAAATCAGGAGTGGTTCCATCTACAGCACCACCCTGCACACCAAGTCCTGCTCAGGAGAATTTTCCTGCAGCTTCCAAAGGGTGTCTGTGCTCCTGACCCAAGAAATGTACTCACCGCCTCATATAAGCATCTGAGGAACTCAAGCTCCTGCTTCAGAATTTCCACTCGAACTTCAAACTCCATTTTTCTCATGTAGGCACTGTCCAGTTCCTGTGAAAGAAACCAACACTTATTTATGTTCTTTTGACGGCCGACTCCTTTCTGAATCACAGATCATACAAAGCTTGATTTCAGTCTTTCATTCCTGGAGCACACAGATCTTCGTGCTAGATTTATTTTCCTCAACTTCAGACCTTAATAACAATCTCTCCTCTAGGCTTCAGTGAATGGAAACAGACGGAGACTTTTAAATACACATCTTACACAGAACAAAGACATTCACTGGAAGAAGTGATTTCTCTCCATTCTGTCTCTAGAAAAAGGAAGTGAGGATAATCCCTATTTCTGAAAACTTCAACAACCAACCAGTTACTCTTTTATTTCCATGGCTTTGGTTTAACCCAGTGTCTTGAGTTACTTCACCTTTTTAAGCTCCACATATTCCTCTTCTTTAGATGCGTGCTTGTTGATTTCGTCCTCAAATCTGTAGCAGAGAGAAGAAACAGGTAGCTAATTGCCTATCTGAATTCTTCAGCCAAATGGATCTTAAACAAAAGAGAATCATCCGAACAGTGGACATGTTGAACTTTCTTTCAACTTCAGCTCCAAAAGCCCCAAACAAGCCTACCACAGAGCAGTGTTCTCAAGTCTACAGCGTGCGTGGAGACCAGAAAGCCATGCCATCCCAAAGCATGATACCACTGCCTGGGAAAACTCCAGCTCTACCGTATGCCTTGTCCTGGTTTAGTGACTATTCACCTCTTTTTGTAATCTTCAACAAGCTGAAGTATTTCATAGGCTTCTGGATCCAGCTGCTCCTTCTGGCTCCGCAGCGTGTCCAGCTGCCTCTGCAGGTTATTGATGTAGGACTGGAAGAAGGAGGTGATGCTTCTGCTCTCCTCCGGCTGCGAGCTTTGCTGCTGCAGCAGTTCCCATTTGGTCATCAGAGCCTGGTTCTGCCTCTCCAGGCATTGAACCTGGAAGGCAAAACACAGGAGCACCTCAGCCACTGGGAAGCACTGACATCAGTGTAGGGACAACAAACAAGACTGTATGCTGGCAGCTCTCATGCAGAAGGTTTAAAATAAAGAAGAAAGAGTCAAAGTGACCCCATTTTTTAGGATTAAGCATGGTTAAAACAGCTGGGTGTAACCGACACCTTTTCTGTACGGTAATACAAGAGGCTCTTATGTCTTCATGTGTAACAAATGGCACCAGCTGCCACCCTATGCAGACACACGTGAACACCCAAACAAAGGCACACACCTTTGTCTGTGTGGGTGGAAGTGTTTTTCAGGCTGTTTTTCCCCTGTGCATGTGTGTAGGAATGACTGAGAAGGTAAAATCATACAGAGGTGGAAGTTCTGAATATAGACCAAGGAAAGAGGTAAAGAATGATGCGGGGGGCATCTGGAAAATCTCCAAGCAAATAAGTCCATGTTTTATGGTTGGGAGAAATGAAACGTTTTGCTCGGCTTGAGAAATAGAAACAGAAAACCTCAAGGATGCTCAAGTCCACCATCTGTTTCTCTTGCTAGCACAAACAATTCGTAGGCCCTGGAGTATCACAAACCCATTTCCTCAAAAGTCAAAATGAGCTGATATGTTGGCAACAATGCAGTAGTTCGTTACTGTCCTGCCACAAGACATGACACAGAGATTCCTATTCCACAGCTAAACATGATTCACACAACAGCGTTTGCAGTAAGCCATTAAGGCAGAAGGGAATCCAGACAGTGCAGAGATTTTGGGGCAGAGGATGAGGTTGCAGAGGAGAACCAGATGCATTGGTTGGACCAATAAGAAGCAGCTCTGGTGTTTCCCACTCCATGACAAGCAAAGAAAGAACAGGGACTCACCTTATCAATGAACGATGCGAATTTGTTGTTGAGTGTCTTAATCTGCTCTTTCTCATCTGACCGCATTCTCTGGAACTCAGGGTCAACTTGCACTTTTGTTGGCCTCAGCAGGTTGGTGTTGACATGGACCTCCTTGATGCCTCCACCAGCAGCAGTGTGTCTCAAGCCCTGCCCAGTCCCTTGCTCACGAAGGCCTCCACTGAGCATTCCCCTGCTTGAGCCTCCTCCATACGTCCTACCTTCCCCACCTTGAAAATCCCCTACAAAATACCCTCTTCTCCCTAAGTCCCTGTCCAGGTATCTCCCATCATAGTACCCCCAGTGCCTTCCGTACCCTCCTCCATCTCCTTCATAGATTCCACCAGTAGAAAAGTTCCTAAACCCACTGAGGTTGTGGAGGCTCCTGCTGCCGTAGCCATAGCCATAGCCATAGCCATAACCACCAAATCTTTGTCCTCTATCGTCTTCCCAATGGCTCATGGCAGAGGAGCCTCTCCCGCTCCCCAGTGTGCCACAGTGAGCAGAAGAAGAGCTGAAGTTCCCATCGCCAAATCTGAAGAAATGGTGGCTCATAGCGATGCTTCAGAGAGTTAAGATGAGAGCAGATGGGGAAGGCTGTAAAACAGGAGGAGAAATGAGAGTGCAAGATCCTCAGCTCCTCTGCTGGGGGTAACAGAAGTTCTCCTTTATATGTTCAGAGAAGTTCGTCTCCATTCCGTGGTAATTATCAGCTCTGTTAATGTTATTATTGGTTTGTATCATCAAGCAGCAATTATTGGGCACTTGAGCAGGAGATAGAGTAAACATCACACACCAATGAAGGAGTTATGAAACTCCAACAAATCCTGCTTGACTCATCAGCTTTGCTCAGATGAGATTTCCTTATCTCATTAGCTTGCCCCTCCATCATTAATTACAGTTCGTACAGTTATCCATGCACCTTAGCATGGTTTGATTTCTCTTGAATTTCCCCACCTCCTTTGGCATCTCGTTTTATGCGACATGAGGTCTTGATATCGTCCTGCTGTTGAATTGGCCTTGGGGTGGCTCACCTTGCTTCACACATGCTAGAATGCACCACACAGAGCAAAGAATTTTCTGCCTTAGTTTCCTTTTCTCCTTTTTTTCTTGTAAGCATTGCTTCCAAAGGGCTGCATGGACAGGGAGGGTGGTGAGGTTGTGTCTTCTTGCTAACAGTCTTTGGTTCACAAAGCTGAGACTGTGTGTTTGAAAACAGAAAAAGGAAAGAAAAAAAATATCTGTATTGATCTTGACTTTAATCAACAGAGTTGTAAATGAAAAAGAAGAAGCTCTGAGAGGTGTAAACACCCGTCAATTAAACCAAGATGTTCTTGCCCAGATTCTCACACTGAGCATCACTCTGATCCCCCCCTCCGTTCTCTTGCCATCTCTGTGCAGGGCTTTCTTTACTTTTCCAGCCCCAGCACGTACTAGTGCAGATATAATGACCATGGATGTGTCAAAAAGCATTTGGGAGCCAAGTCCTGAGAGCATCAAGTCTTCAGCTTTGTCCTGTGTCTCCAGAGTGATCCTCTTCCTTCCAAAGATGCTGGAGGAAAGCCACTCTGGGCACCCTTCAGTTGCACAGTGGCTGTGTGGTCAGGGCTTTGTGATCTTCCCCTGGGAAGGTCTCCTAAATGAAGGGTTTGTAGGGAGAGTAGGGAGAGCTGCCATCAGACCAGTTGGTATCAATAAAAATGAGCAAGTTTTGGGGTGCTCAGCAACCAGATGAAGGCCTTTTCCCAGAAGCAGACACAGTATTCTCCAGGAACAGAATCATAGAACTAAGGAATGGTTTGGGCTGGAAGGGTCCTTAAAGATCACATAACCATGGGATTGCTGGGTTAGAAGGGTCCTTATATATCACAGAACCATAGGATGATCGGGTTGAAAGGGCCCTTTGAGATCATAGAAGGACAGAATGGTTGGGTTGAAGAGGTCCTCAAAGATCATTTAGTTCCAACACTGAAAACAATAATTCTAAATGAGAAATACTGGGGTTTTTTTGTGCAAAACTTGGTGTCTTACAGCCTTACCCCAGGAATGGCCAATAGCAGCCCAGGCAATTCATTTGTGCTACATTTTTGTAGTTAAACTTCAACGGTTACTTACAGTTACAATTACTGAGAATTTTAACAGTTTCCAGCTGAATTTACCCTCTGATAATATGCCTAAATAAAAACATGACTTGGATTGAGAACTGTGTGTCCTGCGGGGAGGAATAATTATGGTAAACAGCAACAAAAAAAGTAAAAAAGATCATAATTTAAAATGGAGAGGTAGGAAACAGATCCATTACAATGCATCTGCCAAACAGCACTTGGATTTTTAACAAAATCCTTCCTCTTCTGCTTTGGCTCAATATTTCCTACATGCTGTTGCATCTCAAGGGAACAAAACGTAAGGGCTCTTCTTCACTCCTGTATTGTGAAGTCCTGAGCTCTGTTTACTCCCTGAAGAATTTTGTTGAGGAGATGCTGTGCATGAGCACTGCAGAGCCTGACAATCCCATGTGACCTCGGGGCCATTATTAGGCTCAGGTGAAGATTAAGACAATATCAGATTTCCCGTCAGGAGGAGCTGATACTCAGTGGCCATGACTCATCGTTTTCCTTACCAGTTTTGAGCTAAAATATCCATTTTCCTCACCTTAATTAACGTTTTCTTGGTGTCATGCAACAGCTGATAGAGACCTGCTGCCCCTCCACCTATCTGCTGAGCTTTGGGGTCTGCTCATCCTCAACCTTCCCCTTTTCCTGATGAGAGCAGCTCACCCCCACACACCATGAACCAACCATGATCCATGATGGATCACCCACACAGGATGGGAAGGAAGTGCCATGAGCCAGGGGAGGGAACACCCATGGACCAAACAAGCCATTTCCATGTAGAACAAAGGCTGCAGGTGTCTGTACAAACCACTGCCCTAAATACATCAGTTCACTGCTTGAAGCAAACCAGGTGCCCGTTCAGATGTAGAGAACCGCTGCATCAACTGCCAAAGCAGCTCTGCCCTGCTTCCTGTAACCCCTGTGTGATGGAGCAGCCACCCTGCCCCATGTGCCATGTACACATGGCACAGCGTGTAGGCTGCTGTTGTGACCATCCTTGGCACAGCTCAGCGCTGGCACAGCAAACCTGGCCACACCTGGACCTGTTGGGCTGGATCTCGTCGACACATCCTGCGGATGGAGGGGGAGATGTCACAAGTTCCTCTCCCCTGCAAGGACCTGGCACTGCTCTCAGATGTGTCCCAGTGCCTTCAGATCATTCATGCTGAAGAGAGTCCTCAATGCGTAGACAAAAAGACTTCCAGTTCAGCATATCCTTGCCATGGACCAGCACCACAGAGCAGAGTCCTTCTGAAGGAATTCCCCCCCTGAAGAGGGGCTTCCCACAGCCACGAGCATCTGGGTCTTTGCTGGTAGCATTTTTTTAATAAGCAAATTGAAGTAGTGTCCAACAAGTCACTGAGGCACGGTTTACTGCCTGGGCTTCTTCTATAGAGAGCCCAGAACCTCCATGTGTGGTTTCTCCTACTCAGAGAAGTTTCCTACACAGGTGACGTGAGTTTGCCTCTCTCATTTTCCTCCATGGACCAGAACGGGACTTGGAGAACTCATCAGCTCCTGAGTTTGGGTGGTGAAAGTCGTGCAAATTGAGCTCTTCTCCAGCAGATCCATGTTACCAAGGGACCACACAAAATATTAGCATTTTCAAACCATTGATACAATTCAACAAAGCCACACATTGGTTTTCTTGGGAACGACTGAAAGAGGAACCCACTGCTCCCTCTCTCATTCCTCCTCCAGTCAACCAAGTAACAAATGGGAAATGTCTCTCATTCCACCTCCAGTCAACCTAAGCAGTAAATGGGAAACATCATAACTGGTACTTAGGCTCATTTCAAGGAAATATCTCAACGTTTTGGAAGGACTATCATAAGCCATTAATAATAGAATGCCAAAACATGACTAAAATAGGGCAGATTTGAGAGATCTACTTCTATCCAACTTGGGACAGAAACTGATGGCTTTTACAAGTTGGATGAGCCAAGGAAAAGGAAATTGGCAGTGCAGTGGAAATCCAGCAGTGTGGTACAGTAGGACATAAATGCAGTAAGACATAAATAAGGTACTTAAGATCTGCCCAGATGGAAGAGATAGGCATGCACATGGAAAATTGAAATAGTAGATCTTGATCAGCAGTTGCCCAAATACCTGCGTAAGTAGGGCCTCAGTCACCTAGGAAATGGGACTGAGGTCATGCAGATACCCACAGATAAATGTCTTCTCCCCACAGACTTTCATTTTCCCCCACTGCCTTGTAGGAGAACATACAGTCCAGGGATGTCTCCCTAAGACAGGAGGAAAGGGATAATACGCATTGGTATTGACTGCTGTCTAGGAATGGTTTTGGGGGCAAATGTCCCTTTGTCTTTGGTAACGTGAAGGATTCTGTGGGAAAGCTTTGGTGGCATTGTATAGAAGCAGGCTGGGGTCAGTGCTGGCCAGGTGGGTGTGTGAGCATGTGCCGTCACCCCTCCGTTGGGAGCTGCCCCATAATGTGGATGTATGGAGGCAGATATCAGTATTTTGGATGGTAAGAAGCAGTTCTGCTGGCATGTGAGAGGCTGCTTTTTGGATGGAAGAAAGAATAAAGTGGAAGTCAAAGCACGAGGGGCAGAGCAGAACAGCCCGCATATGGTTGGAACCGAGAGCTCAGAGAAAGCAACAAGGGGGTGGAAGACCAACAGGAATCATAGAATCATTAAGGTTGGAAAACACAGTCAAGCTCACCCAGTCCAGCCCCAACACATCCCTCCATGCCCACTGACCATGTCCCCAAGTGCCACATCTCCACAGTTCTGAGCACTCCAGGGACAGTGACTCCCTCACTTCCCCAGACAGTCAGTGCCAATGCATTACCACTCTTTCAGAGGTGACATTTCTCCAAACATCCAACCAGGAGAGCTGGTAGGGACTGACCCAACTCCCATTGGCCAGCCTTGGGTCAAGCATTCACCTCTGAGAATGCCAAAGCTTTGCAGGATGAGTTCTCTCTGGTGTTGGCTTCGGGCAGGTCTGTCCCCATCCTTTCTCACCCATCTGAGATGCTTTGGGTGGGGGGTAAGGCTCAATTTTAGCCTCAGGTCCCAACCAGCAGGGATTCTTCTGTTAGAAAAT